TTTTGGTCAAGAACGACCCATGCAGAGGTGAGTACACACACACCCACTGCTGCAGGTTTCACAGGGAAAAAACCTCCGGACAGGAGACTGAATCGACACACGTTAGGCACCTAGTTTACTTTTCTGCCAGCTCTGTTTATACCAGAAAAAAAACCTGACAGATGGAGAATAAAATGTACTTTGTACAGCATGTGTGAAGAGCTGCAATACAGGGGTCACACTCTCTCATCCCCTCTTTATTGTAGTGTCCCCTGTTGTCTAGGAGGTGTTACTCAAGGATTCTCCACCTGTCTGTCTCTTTTTCATTTGTCTCTTGATTAATGTCTCTTCTTTCTCCCTTGGTTCTCTCTCTCTCTGATTTTTAATCAGGTATGTCTCTCTCTTTGTGTAACCCCACCCCCCACTGTTATTATATGCTTTGTTCTTTTTTACTTACGTTTCTCCCTCTTTTGTTCAGCCTCTCTATCAGGCATGGTGTCCCCCGCCGCCCCACCCCCCGGTCATCCTCTCCGACTCGTAGTGCATGGTGCATGGTCCTCAGATCTTTCTCTCCCTCTCCCACCCCCTCCCTCCCTGCCTCTCTCTCTCTCCCTCTCTTTAGTGCATCATCCAGGGATTAAAATCTTCCGCTCCGAGTCCAGCAGCTCCATATCATCCCATATAGGTCGGGTCTCTCTCTCTCGCCCCCCCAATCCTGCTCATCATCTTCCGATTCGCTCTGCTTTCCTGCCATATGTGTCTTCCCTGCCAAGCCCATGTCCTCTGCAGTCCGCCAGCCTGCTCTCGCGAGCTTGGGAAAACGCAGAGTGCAGCTCATCTTGCTCAGAGAGGCCCAGGCTCAGCCGGGATGCCTCTCTGGTGCCCCCCCTCCCTGCCCCGCCCCGCCCCCCGTTTATGGGTCCTCTGTGTGTGCTGCGTGTGTTGGTGAGCGTGTTCCAGGCCAAGCGCGCCTGTGATTTTTTGTCATGTTGTCTTTGTTGTGGCTCTCAGTGACGGTCACTCCCGGCTACTTCTGCTGCAGAGGTACCTACACTCTACTGCTGTCACCGTCACGCCTGTCCTCAGTGTCCCCCTCAAAGCCATCTCCTCACAGCTGTGTGCGTGTCTGTCTGCATGGGTGTCTACGTGGGGGTGTGCGTGTGTGTCTGCACTTGTGTGTGTGTGTATGCTTGTGTTTGCGCTTGTGTGTGTTTGCTCGTGTGTGTGTGTGTGTGTTCTTTACGTGTGTGTAAGTCTGTGCGAGTGTGTGTGTGCACACAGCCTCATGCTTCCCATCTTGCTGGCCGCCCTGCGTCTCATGTGGCCCTCAGGGGCTGGGCGTGGCCAGCCAGGGTTCCTCGCGATGCCTTGCGGGGGCGGGGGGGGGGGGGGCTGGGTGCGGCCGTCTCTCTGGGAGACGATTACAGGCTGTGACCATTTGATTACTGGTCTGCTGTCGCTATGGGTGATGTGGGGATGGGTGTGTGTCCCAGCTGCTGAGCCCCGCCCCCCATCTCTGGCACATTGTGGCCCCGCCCCCCATCTCTGGCACATTGTGGCCCCGCCCTCCTGTCTCTGGCACATTGTGGCCCCGCCCTCCTGTCTCTGGCTGGCTTCACTGGGCTGTGTGATGATGTGCTGGGGCTGCCGCCGTATCTGTCTGGCGATGCTTGAGTCGACGCCCCCGGGCCGCAGACCGCCACAAACCCCCCCCTCTGTCGCCGCTGTGTGCCGCACTCCAAGCCTGATGAGGGGGGGCACGCTGCCTGTGCACAAGCAGCCCCTGAGGAGAACAGTGATGATGATGATGATGATGATGATGATGTTGATGCTTGCTGTATGTCTCCGTGATGCGGGTCAAACCCACCAGCGCTGGCTTTTCTGACCCGCTGTCTCTGTGCCCCCCTGGCACTCCCACACACACTAACACTCTCCCACCTGCCCGCTGTCTCTGTGCCCCCCTGGCACTCCCACACACACTAACACTCTCCCACCTGCCCGCTGACTTGCTCACCCCTTCTCTCCCGCACTGACTCGCAGCAGACTTACACCCAGCCCTGACTCCCGACTGCTCCGCATATACTGACTCTGCCCTGCCACTTGACACTCTTACTCCCTGCAGATCCCTGACTCTGTGTCTTTCACCCCCCCCCCCCCCCCCCNCTCCCTGCAGATCCCTGACTCTGTGTCTTTCACCCCCCCCCCCCCCCCACAGCTCGTGGACGCACCAACCTGGAGCTGAGGGAGAAGTTTATCCTGCCGGAGGGGGCGTCACAAGGCCTGGCGGCCTTCCGCTCCAGAGGGCGGCGCTCCAAGCCTTCGTCCCGCACGGCTTCACCCACGCGCTCCTCCTCCTCCGCCTCCCACAGCGCGCACAGCTGCGCCTCATTGCCCTCTGCCCCAGCCACACCCACCGCCTCCTCACGGGTAAGCGTTCTTTCAGCTGTTGGGGCTGCAGAAATGCGCCGGTTCTGCTGTGCTGTAGTAATGCGGCGGCTTTTCCCTGTGCTGCATTGGTGTGAGTGACAGTGTGCTGGTAAGTGGTCACGGAGAGGGAGCGGTGCTGTGATCTCAGTGGCCTTATCAGGACACACACTCTCACGGATGGATTCATACACACACATGCACACACCACACATGGGGCACTCATGCATGCCACCAGTCCCTTGCTTGCATGGTGATGCGTGTGGTGTCTGTCAATTACTGGGTTTCCTATGACTACAGCATTCAGTGTGTTTCTGCATGTACCGGTTTCAGTGGGAGTATCAGCAAACTGCAAAGGCCTGAACAGTCTAAACTGCACCATGAAGCCCTTCATGTGACAGGGGAATGAGCTAGCTGCTAATGTCTAACAGGGGAGTGAGCTAGCTGCTAATGTCTAACAGGGGATTGAGCTAGCTGCTAATGTGTGATGGGGAGTGAACTAGCTGCTAATGTGTGACAGGAGAGTGAGCTAGCTGCTAATGTGTGATGGGGAGTGAACTAGCTGCTAATGTGTGACAGGGGATTGAGGTAGCTGCTAATGTGTGATGGGGAGTGAGCTAGCTGCTAATGTGTGATGGGGAGTGAGCTAGCTGCTAATGTGTGACAGGAGAGTGAGCTAGCTGCTAATGTGTGATGGGGAGTGAGCTAGCTGCTAATGTGTGACAGGGGATTGAGGACG